GGACCTCCCGATTCCAGTTATCATTTTGAAATGGGGCCACCGTAACATTTTAATAATGGTTTAAGCTGCGTACATAAATCAACACCCTCTTTTATATACCCGTATTTCCATTCCTTCTGGTTTTCTCTTTCGACTTTATAATAAATTGTACTAACGGCACAATTCAGTTATTTCACATTCTCTTTTAATTTTCAGTTCTTCAGCAAAGCTCTCAGCTCAAATACAGGATTGTCAAAACAAACGTAAGAGACACTCAGGCATAGATATACCAAGATCATTTTTACCATCAAGAGCCTATTGACAAGGAATTTGACGTTTGATTCTAATGCAATTTTTGTAGCTCAACTGTAGCTCAAAAGTTCTTCTCTCCGTTACAGATGCCACCAACTTTTAGCAGTTTTCTGGGTCTGTAAAACAGTGGTATGCTGTTGAAATAAATGAAGGCACAATTGTTGTCTTGTTTTGTCGCTTCTGGTGAATGACAGACTATGCCAATTAGGCTATTATCCCACAAAAGGAAGTCTAGAATTCTTGGTCAACTCTGTAGACATTCTTGTCATCTCTGGAGCCAAAGTCCAAAGGGAAAAAAAGAAACCCAACAATTTTGAAGAACACAATCTATGTGTTGAGAAGATCAGCTCTAATCATGCATTTCAGCATAATTCAATAAAATGCATTCCCTGGTAGCTCAGAAAGAATGGAGCACTCAGCCTCTACAAAACAAATGATAAATTCACTGGTTGTTTTGCTTAGAATTATGGGGCTATTTAAGCTCCATGCAAGCTGGAAGGATGGAATTTATTCTGAGTTGATTTAGGAATATTGGTTGGCTAAATTATAAGCTCTGGAAAATGTGTGTCCTTGGTGGCCGCTGAGATCTCAACCTGATTTTTTTTAGGTGACCACCTTCAAAATACAATATCTCCTCTTATGCAAAACTTGATGGAATTAAGGTAATATGGAATTATTAAAACAGAACAGCCAACCAAAGTGTCCTGGACCTCTTCCTTTATGAGAGATGGTCCATTTTGAATGAGAGAAGACATGCACAAATGAAAACTGAAGAATGGGAACACCAAAATATTTAAAATGCTTAAACCTGGTTGACTGATAAATTTAAACATGTTCTTGATTTAGATTGAATAGGTTGAATCATGGACTAAAAATAGATTATGTTAGTCAAGAAACAACGATTTAACTGGAGGGTAACAATAGCCAAGGCTATATTTTTTTTTAGGTAAGTCCAGTGGAGAGCATCCTTGTCCAAGCTGCAAAAATCTAAGTGAGCACAAGATGGCAGGTAAGAGATAAGAAGTGTGTGTGCAGGGCTCCTGCTACCCAGTGGCCACTTCAATCTTTGCAGCCCAGACATTACGCCAGGACAGGGGGAGGCAACCTTGGCTCTTTTATGACTGGTGGACTTCAACTCCCAGAATTCCTGAGCCAGCCATGCTGAGGGGAAAGGGAAAGGTTTCCAAGCTGAGCCAGGCTGGCTCAGGAATTCTGGGAGTTGAAGTCCACCAGTCATAAAAGGGCCAAGTTTGAAGACCCCTGGTTTAAATATTTAAATATTTTTTCCTCACGGTCACATGATCAAAATTCAGGCATTTGGGCAGGGGGAGGCAACCTTGGCTCTTTTATGACTCGTGGACTTCAACTCCCAGAATTCCTGAGCCAGCCATGCTGAGGGGAAAGGGAGAGGTTTCCAAACTAAGCCATGCCGGCTCAGGAATTCTGGGAGTTATAGTCCACAAGTCCTGGAAGGGGCCATAGTTCCCCCATGCTGGCTCAGGAATTCTGGGAGCTGAAGTCCACGAGTCATAAAAGAGCCAAGCTTGCCTACCCCTGCGCTAGGACAACCTAATAATAAGAATATCTGAGAGGTTTCTTTATCCAGATTTATTCTAAAGAAAAAGGGATCATAGAATCTATGATAAGATTATAGAAAAATGAACAGAGTTAATATGTTCTTGCAATCTTCCTCCTCTTCCTCTTCTCCTCTTCCTCCTCCTCCTTTCTTCTTCTTCTTCTTCTTCTTCTTCTTCTTCTTCTTCTTCTTCTTCTTCTTCTTCTTCTTCTTCTTCTTCTTCTTCTTCTTCTTCTTCTCCTTCTTCTCCTTCTCCTCCTCCTCCTCCTCCTCCTCCTCCTCCTCCTCCTCCTCCTCCTTCTCTAAGTTAACCAACAGGCTTTCCTTTTTTATAAGCTATTGGAGTAAGCTTTCAATGGAGTTTCTCCCTTTCCAAGTAGAAAGGTTGATTTTTATTCAGCTTGGTTTGGCCAATGCGCTATTGTTTTTAATTAAATTGAAAAGCGAAATTAATTTATATTAAAACTAAGGTTTTAATTTAGACCATCCTTAGAGTTAAGAAAAAAAATTCCGTAAATGATTGCCTGGCAATAATTCAGAAGAGACCGAATGTAAATTGCAGTTAACTCAGGTGATCACTTCGAAAGGCATGAAGACTTGATAAGGCAGTGTGTGAATAAAATTTATTTACTTATTCAATCAACCAACCAATCACACCTTCATCATGGTTCTGTATACGTTAACAAAAATTGCATAGTTAGTTGTTACTTTCATTCCTTTTAGCGGATTGCTCTGAACAGCTAACGATTTAAGGCTCGTTCATTCTTATATTTCTGACCTGGCTTTGAACATCTGGATGCACCTCTGTTCTTCCATGTCTTGGTCTTTCTAAACCTGGTAAACTGATTTAACAGACCAAGAAAAAACTGTGCTTTATCCATGAACTCTAAGTTTCATGAGCCAACCCTAACAGCCTAAGAGACTTGCAGGATGCGCGGATGCAAAATCTGATGGCACGCTTCGATCATAACCCCATATCCATTGTATTTCCAAAGCAATAAAATATTTCTGAAAGGGCAACCTAAGTCTTACTTTGAAAAAGATGAGAATTGGATATTTTTTTTGTTTTGGTTTTTGCCTCCCTGCATATTTATCAGGTATGAGCAGATCTTCTAGGAATCCTGTAGTACAGCAGCATTTAATTTAATGGATGACGTATTCCTCATACATCACCATAACATTTAGGTTTCTCCAACAGTGTAAGGAATTGATTGTAGGAAACATAATATCTGCAGTCATAGAACTTAGAAGTATCAGGTTGTAAGGGACCTTGGAGATCTTCTAGTCCAGGGGTCTCCAACCGTGGCAACTTTAAGACTTGTGGACTTCAACTCCCAGAATTCCTCAGCCAGCTTTAGCTGGCTGAGGAATTCTGGGAGTTGAAGTCCACAAGTCTTAAAGTTACCAAGGTTGGAGACCCCTGTTCTAGTCCATCCCCCTGCCCATGTCAGGAGAACATCTACCATCCTGGACCAACGGCTGTCCAGTCTCTTCTTGAAAACCTCCCGTGATGAAATGCAATGGGATACGATGATAGCATTCTTAATCTTCATTAATCTTAATTCCTAAAATCAATCTTAATTCAATATTCTTCAAGGCGAAACATTTGATAGCTCCAACCTTGAAATCCTTGGGCATCAGTTATGACCTTGCCATTGAAATTCTTCTTCATATTTGGTTCTGCCATGTGCCACTGTAGGGTGATTTCATTGAAAAACCCCTCTTGTTTCAGTGACAGAACTTTGCTTGTTTTTCAACAATGGCTTCTTGGAACAAAACCGCAAGGCCGCGTTTTGTTGAACCAACAAGAGGATTGCCTAGAAAATGATGAGCGATAGCATAAAGGTGCCCTTTCCTAATTCGGAGGACTTCAGAAGGACAAACCGTGCACTGTGACATCACGGTATCAAGCTCTCCCTTTTGTGTACTTGTATCACAATAGTGCATGCAAATATGAAAGGGGCAGAGCTTGCATCCAAATGTCACCAGATGGTTCATCCTTTGAAGGGCGCTAACATCACTGGGCCCCATTATAGTTAGGGCTGCAAGCACAGGGCATTCGAGATCCCGATTAAAAATTATTTTGGGGAAAAATAAATCCGTGGTCAAAGATAGGATTTAGAAATGCTTACTTCGGAAGAAAATATACATTTTACAAAATAAATTAAATATACACGATTTTCGCTTAAACTCTATATAGATATTTTTTTTTAAAGTTTACGTTCTTTTTTTTTTCTTTTCTTTTTTAACTGAATCTGCCTTGACTCCATTTTAATACGGTCACATGTGGCCTGTTTCTCCCCTTCGAACTGAAGTGAAATACGTGTCTCTCTCGACCTGCAAGTCGTATTACAGAAATGAGTTGTTCCTGAGACACAACGGACCTTCGTTTGCTTCAAGACACTTCCGCTTATTTGGGTTGTCACGAAGAGGTTCTTCTGCTATAATCCATGAAAAATCTGATGGCCAGGTAAGGGAAGAATACAAGGGTGGGGAGGGGGCATGGAGGGGGTCAAAAACATCAAGATGGTGGCTTCATTGACAAGGTGGCCTTTACGGACATGGTGACCTTAAACAGGAGACCAAAGTCCCACCCCTTTTAAAGGCCACCATCTTGACTTTTGTGAACTTCCATATCCCTACATACCATCCTGGTCCTAAATTTTAAAAAAGTCGGCAGTTCCAGTTCATCATCATCATCATCATCATCATCATCATCATCATCATCATCATCATCATCATCATTTATCAATTCATCATGATCATAATTAAATATAAATATAAAAGTGAGCCATACATTGTTCTTCGTTTTGGGGGTCAGAAGGCTTTCTAGAGATCGAGGAGTTTGGTGATTGTTAACTCTACGGCAGCATTTCTTGGCTTCACAACTTGAAACACACCGCCCCACAAACGCACACGCACACGCACACACACACAACCCCACACACTCATCCATCCATCTTCTTGGTATAAGGCCACTCAAACGCTTCCCTTTGGCGTTGGCACTTTGGCGTTGTGCGGTTGGCTTTGAGGAGATGGGGTCGGATGGAACCCTCTTGACCTTGTAGGGTTATAGCAGGCCACTGAAGCAGCTCTACTCCAAGATGAAGCGGGCTTCCAAAGGAACGTCTTTGCCATTTGGGAATTCCTTCATTACTTCCTGGTCACAGTAACAACACACCCTGGACAACGCACCGTGTTTCGTTGGGTTGTGTCGGGTGAGTTTTCCCCACAGTTTCCCGGCCGTTTCGGCTGATCCAAAGCGATTCGCGTCACAACGTTCTAAAATGGCGGACCTTCTTTAACACGGGTAATGGATGTGCTGGTGCTGGTGTACCTTGCCTTCCACGTGGGAATGGGTGTGGGTGTGGATGTCTGTATAAATCTTTGGGTACATTTTGGAAGCCGCGCTGGAAGGCAGGACTGGCCCCTGGGTCAGCAAATGCTGCTGCTGGGCTACATATTCCTCATAGTTCATGGAGGACAAGCAGTCTTTATCGGAGACCTGGGCTGTGCAGACCCGGTCGCGAGGCTGGCTCCTGTGTCCCGGAGTAGCAGCTGGAGCAGAACACGGCTTCTTCTTGGTTTGGCAGAGCCAGAGAACGATTGTCCCAAAAATGAAGACAGCTCCAGCCGGGATCCCGATGATGACCGGCCACGGAAGACTGCTGGTAGAGGAAGGTGCCAGAGGTTGACTTGGGGACTTGGGATCTGCAGGACAGAAAGAACAAGAACAATTGAGGGGATGGGATTAGAACCAGGAGAGAAAATGTCAAAATATGGAGCTGGGTTTGGCCTCCACCTCCCTGAATTACATCTGATTTGGCGTCTTTCTTTCAGCCATTTCAAAGCGGACACTGAGGTGGAATGGAAGAACTTAGAACAGTGATGGCGAACCTTTTAGAGGCCGAGTGCCCAAACTGCAACCCAAAACCCACTTATTTATCGTAAAGTGCCAGGGCCGCATCAGCATTATGGTGCCCTCAGGGTCATGGCAGACTGAGTGGGCATGGCCGGGGTAGGTGTGGTCCCTTTGATGTTGCTCGTGAAGGGGATGCCTGTGGGGACTGGGCAGGATTGGGGGAGATCCAGGGGGTCTCTGGTGGGTGGGGCGGTGGGCAGGAAATCCAGTGTAGTAAAGGCTAATAGATTGGTCAAAAGGTTTCATGTGAAACACCCCAACAAACCGAAAGATAACCCTTAACATTATGCTTTGGTTTGCTTTACAGGATCTGTCCTTTTTTGTAAGGGGGGGCCGGATGTCAACGCTGCAAACACTGTATATTCTTGCTTTGACAATATGCAGAACTGTCTGGTATTTTTATAGTTAAATCAGGCAACAGTGAAAGGGGAGGAGAATAAGGAAAGCCCGGGGAAAAAAAACAGGAAGTAAATCACATCTTCCAAGTTAATTGGAAGATGTGAACCATGACCCCAAAATAGGGGCGGGGAAAAATGATTAGAATGTATGTGTAACGGAAAAGAATCCAGACCTAAGCATTTCCACCATGCCGTACTGACGTCTCTGTAACCTTAATAAATGCTTTTAGGATAAAAATATGCCTGAAAGTCCTTTAAAGTGTTTCGTTAATCAGACACATGACCTCTTGTCTTACAGGGTGAGGCAGGGGGTAGGGCGGGGATGCTGCAGGGCAAGGCGAGGCAGTGGCGGCCGCTAGCCGACACCAGAGACCCCCGCACACAGAAGCCAGCGAGCGCATGGAGGCATGCTTTACCACCTGTACTTGCCAGCTAGCCAGCTGCTTCATCTCCTTTGTGCTGGGTGGGGTGCCACTCCGGGCACCAGCGGTGGCCTAATGGACCTGCCTGAGCTGGCGGTGGCAGGTGTGCCCACAGAGAGGGCTCTGAGTGCCGCCCCTGGCACGCGTGCCATAGGTTCACCATCACTGACTTAGACGACTGTATTCCAATATCTCGTTAGTTTCTCAAAATATAAAATACGGCGCCAAGGTTGACTCGTTCAATGTCTAGTGTTCTGGTTTGAACTCCACAGAATAATGGCTACCACCTCTGAGGAGTCCCAGTAAGGATTAAACTGGTCATGTGGTGCCCCCTGGTGGTCATTGTAACTGATAATAGAGTTCAGGGTTGAAATGGTGTGTGTGTGTGTGTGTGTGTGTGTGTGTCCTGATGATGTCATCTAGTTTGGTTAATGAAACATCCGCCAGAAAAACCACCAAGCTCAGAGAGCATCAAGGACTCCTGATAATCCATTGCTAAAATGACTTACTTTGGGGTCTGGGTAGAACAGGGGTGTCAAACTCGCAACGTCATGTGACGTGTTGTGACATATCACGATTTTTTTGCCATTGCCGGCAATGGGGTGGGCGCGGTTCCGCTATGATGCATCCGGCCCGCAGGCCGGCAGTTTGACACCCCTGGGGTAGAAGGTTAAACAGTTGTATGTAGACAACAACGTTAATTTCCACTCCAAAACATTGCTTTTTCCAGGTTTTGAATAAAAGCAATGCTTTTGTTTTCATGTGCCAAGCTTGTGGGACGCATCTTGGATCAGATCTGCTAGGATAAAAAGCCAACCAGGTGTAAATCTTTGGTGCTAATAAAGGGGGGATTGACACCCAAAGACAACTAAATTACAAACTCTGCAAATTTCAACTTGAAATAAAGGATAAAAAGCGTGTCTTTCAAATACAGAAAGGGCCTTCCTTTCAAGATGGCTATTTGAGCATAAATTGTAAAAAGTTCCATGCAAAACTCTTTAGCAGCTGGGCACAGGAATCCATACGTAATTTTCTTTCTAAGCAAGTAGATGGGACATGGACCAGATTTAGCTTGATCTGCTCATCTCAAACGTTGATGAGTTTCCAATTCCTGTTCTACAGGAGATGAATAAATATCCATTTATTCATTTCCCAGGCCAAGGTTTGGTTAAGAAGCATTTTCCAGGATAATTGTGGCAGCTGAAAATTAGGTCCGTTTAGCTGTTCTCAATATAAGCCAGTGGAAATGTTAGCCAATGTTGACTTGAGTGAAGTTGATTGGATACAGGCGATAGAATAGAATAAAATAGAATAGAATAGAATAGAATAGAATAGAATAGATATTAGAATAGAATAGAATAGAATAGAATAGAATTAAGAAATAGAATAGAATAGAATAGAATAGAATAGATATTAGAATAGAATAGAATAGAATAGAATAGAATTAAGAAATAGAATAGAATAGAATAGAATAGAATAGAATAGAATAGAATAGAATAGAATAGAATAGAATAGAGATGGGATGGGATGGGATGGGATGGAATAGAATAGAATAGAATAGAATAGAATAGAATAGAATAGAATAGAATAGAGATGGGATGGGATGGGATGGAATGGAATAGAATAGAATAGAATAGAATAGAATAGAATAGAATAGAATAGAATAGAATAGAATAGAATAGAATAGAATAGAGATGGGATGGGATGGGATGGGATGGAATAGAATAGAATAGAATAGAATAGAATAGAATAGAATAGAATAGAATAGAATAGAATAGAGATGGGATGGGATGGGATGGGATGGGATGGAATGGAATAGAATAGAATAGAATAGAATAGAGCTGGAAGGGACCTTGGAGATCTTCTAGTCCAGCCCCCTGCTCAAGCAGGAGAACCTATACCATCTCAGACAGGTGATTGTCTGATATATGCTCAGAGCTCAAAATTCAGCTGCAAAAGCAATAGCCCTAAGCTTAAGAAAGCAAAATTAACAAAATAAATAAAATTGAAGGAAGACCCAATGGTTGAAACAAACATCTCACCTGGTAACACGGTAAGAAACGCACTTCGGAAGCTGTACCCCATCGTGTTTGCCCCTAGGCAAATGTACATGCCAGCATCTTCTTCCTTGGCACGCGTGATCATGAGTTTGTTCAGGTAGGAGCCATCGGGACGAGACCAAACATCACCGGTGGGAAGCACCACAAACTTCTGCCCGCCGACATCAATGGTGGAATTGTATCTGCTCTCTGTGCCGTATTCCACTCTCTTCAACCACTGGATCACCGGTTTAACGTCACTCCTCACCTTACACTGGAATGAGGTTGTTCCTCCATAGTCCACAGTTGTGTTCACCGGGTGTGTCCCAGTAAGGATGGGTTTGGATCGTGTCCTCTCTGGAAATCAATACAGACAAGTTTTCTCTTGATTAAGAGTTGTCTAAGTCATGCATGTGATACAGAGTACAGAATAATAAAGAACAGTTGCTGGAATTGGGTATATCTGGTTTAATGAAGAGAAGGACGAGGGGGGACATGATAGCCGTCTTCCAGTATCTCAGGGGCTGCCATAAAGAAGAGGGAGTCAAGCTATTCTCCAAGGCACCTGAAGGCAGGACAAGAAGCAACGGATGGAAACTAACCAAGGAGAGAAGCAACCTAGAACTAAGGAGAAACTTCCTGACAGTTAGAACAATTAACCAGTGGAACAACCTGCCTCCAGAAGCGGTGAATGCTCCAACACTGGAGGTTTTTAAGAAGAGACTGGACAGCCATTTGTCCGAAATGGTATAGGGTTTCCTGCCTGAGTAGAGAGTTGGACTAGATGACCTCCAAGGTCCCTTCTGAGTCTGTTATTCTATTCTATTCTATTCTATTTTCTACCCTACCCTACCCTACCCTACCGTACCCTGTTCTACTCTACTCTACTCTACTCTACTCTACTCCTATGCCAAATGACTGTCCAGTCTCTTCTTAAAAACCTCCAGTGATGGAGCACCCTGGGGGAAAGCTGTTCCACTGGTTAATTGTTCTCACTGCCAGCATCCACTCCTTCTCTAAATGCTAAAGAAACCAAAGGCATCCAGAAGCTAAGTTCCAAAAGAATCCACAAGGTGTGTTAATCTTCCGTAGCGTCAATTAATTAATTGAATTAACTCAACCCTTTCTAAATTAGAAGCTAGTATCACTCAATTGTTTTTTTTTCAACACATAGCATAACTCTTATCCTGCACCTGCCTAAACAACCTGCCTTCCTTCTCCCCTGCCCCGTGCATTTAATGAAAAGAATTATAGTTCACAAAGCTTATGTTTCTTAATAAAAAAAATCTATCAATCCCACTGATTCCTACTTTGCAAGCAAGACTGATGGCAAATACAAGCTGGGCTTTTATTTTGCTGGCAAAAATGGTTCTGCTTCCCATATATATCTGGTAGCACAGCTCCTGCAGGGACCGTCATTCTCCTGATTTTTGAAATAAAAGCCAGACAAGTTCCAACAATTGAAGGAGAACTGCAGAGCAGTTCCAGCGAAGAAGAACGCGGATCGTAAGATGCAGCCTGCCAACTACACCAAAACGATCTTGGAAATGGAGAGGATCAACTCTGGGAAAAGCTACATTTTCACAGGCAGACGAGCCAGACAAAAGCCCAACGGCTCAGTCAAAACAGCCAGAACATCGGACGATAAATCTCTTCTCTAACCTTAGGATACACGAAAGGGTAATCACCCTTCAAATCTCTTTAATAGCAAAAATCTGGCAATTTATGCCCCTGCTGTAAAGGTTAACAGAAAGATGCTCTATCCTTCTTTATCTCCAAGCGAACACAAGATAAATGGGAAGAGCGTAGCTGTGACCGACACCCGCCTGGCGTCCATGAGGGGGGGGGGGAAATGCTACACGCTACATATCCTACACGGAGCTGAGATTTGATTCATTTCCCTGTTTCTGCTCCTGGTTTTAATGTAAACACATGTTTTTCACTACTCCGCACAGCTGCGCCTTTATCAGTCCCAGATGTGGGACAGTCTTGTATCATCGGCGCACAAGAGGGATCCTTCCTCCACATGTGCTTCTCATTCACATTTTTATGTAACTGAAAATGTTATCGTTGATGGGCGGCTTCAAGTCCTCGGATTGGAGACGTCGGCTTTTGAGCACACTTACCGCATTCGTTTTAAGGACAAAACGTTACTGAAAAAAAAAGAGACTTACAACCATTTTTCACACTTATGGCTGTTGCAGCCTCTCCGTGGTCACGTGATCAAAATTTGGCCGCTTGGCAACTGACTCGTATTTCATCTAGTGTCCCTAGATTACGTGATCCCCTTTTGTGACCAAAAAGCTAACACAGTGCTAAGTCTGCATTAACAGAGGGATGGAATCAAGATCACGTGAAGTGTTAATACCACTTTACAAGGCCTTGGTAAGGCCACACTTGGAATACTGCATCCAGTGTTGGTCACCACGATGTAAAAAAGATGCTGAGACTCTAGAAAGAGTGCAGAGAAGAGCAACAAAGACGATTAGGGGACTGGAGGCTAAAAGATATAAGGAACGGTTGCTGGAATACCCATACAGATCAAATTACTTCTCTTCCTGCTCCCCCCTGTACTATCGTCACAAGGTTATAGAGTCCCCAACGGTATTTCTTCTCCCTCAGTTCGATAAGAGGTTTCGCGGACTTCCGTCCTGTTCTTCGTTGCCTACCTTTGAGTAGTTCCTCTCTTCGTTGGATCTTGATTCCTCTTTGAAGGACTGTCACTCTTGAATTAACCAGTGGAACAACCTGCCTCCAGAAGCTGTGGATGCTCCAACACTGAAAGTTTTCAAGAAGAGACTGGACAGCCATTTGGCTGAAATGGTATAGGATTTCCTGCCTGAGCAAAGGTTTGGACTAGATGACCTCCAAGGTCCCTTCCAAGTCTGTTATTCTATTCTAAGACCTTCTGAAATTTTGGGCTCTGTCACGGTTTTAAGTCTTACCAATTGTTAATCCTCCGTCTATAGCAGGGGTCTTCAAACCTGCCCCTTTTATGACTTGTGGACTTCAATTCCCAGAATTCCTCAGTCAGGCACGCTGAGGAATTCTGGGAGTTGAAGGTCCATAAGTCATAAAAGGGCCAAGTTTGAAGACCCCTGGTCTACAGGCCTGCCTGACCAAAAAGCGAAGCTTTTGATATCTATGTTATATGGTGGCCCCGTACAGTTACATCCCCATAAAGCTTGCCCACTTTTTCACAGCTTGAAGAATCCAGTATCCAATCAGATGTAGACTAAGTTTGAAATCATTGGGTTCAGGATGACGTCTGAATCCCTCATCTTGTTTCCTCAGAAGCAGCTTCTCTTCCCCGGGATGAGAGTCTTGATGCTGGACTAACGTGCTCAGGACCAGAGGCTTTGCCAACTTGTTGAGCGACAACTCGTCACGCTCAGCTGTCAGTCAATACTTACGGATCACTTCTACTTTGTAGGTGGCGTTGATTTCGCCCATCCTGTTGAAGACACGGCAGGTGTATTTTCCGCTGTCCTCCGGCTTCAGGTTCTTCAGATTGAGGGTCCACCGCTTCCTTTTGTTCTCGCCAATCTCCTGCGAGGTCAGAGGCTTGTTGTCCTTTAGCCAGCTGATGTCCGGCCGGGGGTTGCCACTGGCCACACATTTGAGTCGGATCGAACTGCCCACCGGCCGGGCGATCACACGTTGCCTCATCTTCGCAGGCTGAGTGAATCTCGGCCGAGCTGTAAAGAGAAGCAAAACATAAGCAAAGCTTCGGAGATTGGACTAGAAGATTTCCAAGATCCCTTCCAGCTCTGCTATTCTCTTATCGGAAAAAGAATCCTTGAGGAAAAAGTTCATTAAACTCATAGCAAAGACCCAAAGGTGCTGTGATGACCCAGGGCACAGCACAGAGGCAATGCAGTCAGCTGGCAATCCAAACCGCCCTTTAATTGCTCCAAATTTTCCCCAAATGCTCCCACTTTTCTAGCAAGCCTCCAAACAAAGAAAGACACACACACCTTCAGCCATCTCTGGCTGCAAGTAGTTTCACATACAGTCTGATTGGGAGAGGAATTTACTCAAGGCCACGGAGATAACAAGGAATGACACATACAGCATAAACCTAACCAGTCTGTGTGAAGACACGCTTGCCTGAGCAGTTTGAAAAGGGAAGCCACAATACAGTCCGAGATCTTTGAACACCCAAGCAACGTTGTCAGCCAGTCCAATGGTCAGAGTTCCTGGGTTTCCAAGCAGAAGTCACAGAACAAGAAATCAGCAACAACACACACAAAACTCCAAGGAATCAGAGTTTGTTCCTGACAAATGCCTCTCCCCACAGCGTTTCCTTAAGTCTCAGTCTCCAGGTGTGCCTTGTGGAGAGGGGAGGGATGCTCTCCTCCCAAGTAGTTGAGCCTGCCTGCGTTTACGGAACATTTTCAGAAGATTCCAGCCTGTTATATATGAAATTAGGCAAGATTTTATCTTTGCAGAAGGGACTTATAGCCATCATGTACTTCTCTCTAAAGGACGGTGGGGGAGCAAATGAAATGTAGTAGATCCTAAATGTTCTTTTTCAAGAGGATCGGATCTAATGGATGGAAACTGATCAAGGAGAGAAGCAACCTGGAACTAAGGAGGAATTTCCTGACAGTGAGAACAATTAACCAGTGGAACAACTTGCCTCCAGAAGTTGTGAATGCTTTAAAGAAGAGACTGGACAGGTATTTGTCTGAAAGAGTATAAGGTCTCCTGCTTGAACATGGGGTTGGACTAGAAGACCTCCAAGGTCCCTTCTAACTCTGTTTCTTCTATGGTTCTGTAAGAGTCTCCTACTTGAGCAGAAGGTTGGACTAGAGGACCTCCAAGGTCCCTTCCAACTCTGTTATTCTATTATATACTCTTTTTATTCTGGAGGCAAAGTATAACTTCTCTTCAATGCAGAAGGCCGAAGATAAGCCCGTGTTGGAGCAATGTTCTACCACTTTCAACTCGTCCTCATCAGTTGGAGTGAACACCTTACTAGGGGTCCAAGCAACCTGTCCAATCTTGTTCTGTCAGATTTCTAATCTGATTATCGGGTTGAGGTGGCCTGGGTTATCTTGACGGAAACCAAGGAAATCCATTTACGCCAGATTGGCTCAACCTATCATCGCCTTTCAGCAGGGCAGGCTACATTATCTGACCGGGGCACTTGTGGAATCTATTTTTCCCCAATTGGCACCACGGATTGTGATGACGGAGGATTATCTCAGATTGTGAGGTTGGGAGGGGCGCCCTGAAGAAAGATGGTTTGATAGGCTGGAGTTAAGGTGTCAACTATATGCAGATAACCCTTTTCATCAGGCTGAAGGAGAAGCAGTTTCATCTCAGCACTGCTGTCTGACAGCTGTCAGGGCCCAGAGAAGAGAAAATCGCCTGAATGGAAAAAAGATGGAATTAATGGAGGGTCTAGATCAGGGGTAGGCAACCTTGGCTCTTTTATGACTGGTGGACTTCAACTCCCAGAATTCATGAGCCAGCTTGGCTCAGCTTGGAAACCTCTCCCTTTCCCCTCAGCGTGGCTGGCTTAGGAATTCTGGGAGTTGAAGTCCACGAGTCATAAAAGAGCCAAGGTGGCCTACCCCAGGTCTAGAATTTGGAGGACCAGAGATGCAGAACTATCTTTGAGGCCCTTTCTCCGATCTCAAAAAGAAAACTAGCAGATTAGCAAAAATGTTTAAAAATACTTCAAACAACTGTTGGAAATGCAAACAAAAACCAGGTACTTATTATCATATCTGGTGGACATGCCCTACAGCAAAAAGAATTTGGGTTAAAATACACTTATGGTTGGAGAAAATGACTAAAAAACAAATAGATTTCAAGCCAGAATTATTATTTTTTAGGAATAATAGGAGCAAATTATGAGAAAGTCAGCTCTGAAGAAGAAGCTTCTTTGATGAGCTGAGGAAGCCTCTTGGAGGAGAAGCGAAACATCTTCTAAGAAAAACAAGGAAGTCCAGTTGCCTCGTGAAAAAGCATCTTTGGGACCAATCATGACCTGGAGGACTGAGAACCTCCACAGACACTTCAGAAGTCGAGGGCACTCCATCACTGGAGGTTTTTAAGAAGAGACTGGACAGCTCCCTGTCTGAAATGGGTCAGGGTCTCCTGCTTGAGCAGGGGGTTGGGCTAGAAGACCTCCAAGGTCCCTTCCAGCTCTATTCTGATGGATTTGACACACGCACCTCTTGCTGTGTGAGTCAGTATCAAAGCAGAGTCTTTTGCTCCTGGTTCACCCCGTTCCCCTCCCTTCTCAACCCCCCCCCCCAACTTCATACTTTAGATGCATGCAAGGGGGAGCCCAGCTCCACGTCTCCTTCTGCCCCCGAAAAATGCTTTGAGCCCAAGCAAGCAAGAACAAATGCCTCCATCTCCACCCAATCTCAGCCTTCTGGGTCTCGGCCACCTCGGGATATTTGATTTCAGTCTCTTCGTCTTCCTTTGCGCCGAAGGGCTTCGCTCCGAGGCTTTCATGTGTAACCTAATGAAGGACCGAGCGGACAGCTGGAGGGACAAGTGTGACATCCTAGCTCTGTCGGGAAAGATGGGTGTGCAAATGCAAGGGGGGGGGTGTCTTTCCCCGATGGTCTCGAGAGGGGAGGCAGCAGAAACGCTGCCCTCCAAGATGGTCCGTCCGGCATCCGTCAAGTTGCCTCTTCGTGGGACCCCTGCAGGCCACTATTGACCCACAGTAAATAGGACCACAATCCCAATAGTGGGATTCAGATAGGGCAGGGCTAGGCAAGCTTGGCTCTTTTATGACTCGTGGAATTCAACTCCCAGAATTCCTGAGCCAGCATGGGGAAAACTTTGGCCCCTTCATGACTGGTGGACTTCAACTCCCAGAATTCCTGAGCCAGCCATGCTGAGGGGAAAGGGAGAGGTTTCCAAGCTGAGCCATGCTGGCTCAGGAATTCTGGGAGTTGAAGTCCACCAGTCATGAAGGGGGCCATAGTTCCCCCATGCTGGCTCAGGAATTCTGGGAGTTGAAGTCCACCAGTCATGAAGGGGGTCAGAGTTCCCCCGTGCTGGCTCAGGAATTCTGGGAGTTGAAGTCCACGAGTCATAAAAGAGCCAAGCTTGCCTACCCCTGAAATAGGTGAACAACCGGTTCTCTGTGTGGATGCTGCTTCCGGAAGTCCGTTCTGGGCCTGTTGGCAACCAAAAAATTAGCTACCGGTTCTGCTGAAGTGGTGGGAACTGGCTAAATCCCACCCCTGCCACAATTGCACGCACAATTTCTGCTGCTCAGCGAAGACAGTCGCAAAGTGAATTTTGCCCCATTTTACGACCTCCCTTGCCACAACTGTTACGCAAATCACTTCAGTTGTTTGGTTAGCAGCACGGCTGTTAATCTGGCTTCCCCATTGGTTTTGCCTGTTGGAAGGTCGCAAAAATAACCGTAAAAATCCAATCCATATTAAATAAGTTGCCAATTGTCTAAACCAAGGGTAGGCAACCTTGGCTCTTTTTATGACTGGTGGACTTCAACTCCCAGAATTCCTGAGCCAGCCATGCTGAGGGGAAAGGGAGAGGTTTCCAAGCTGAGCCATGCTGGCTCAGGAATTCTGGGAGTTGAAGTCCACGAGTCATGAAGGGGCCAAAGTTTCCCCATGCTGGCTGAGGAATTCTGGGAGTTGAAGTCCACCAGGTCCTGGTTGTCCCAAAGGTGCTTTTTTCCAAGAGGCAACTGGACTTTCTTTGTTTTTCCTTGAAGACGTTTCGCTTCTCATCCAAGAAGCTTCTTCAGCTCTGACTGCATGGTGGGGGAATGGAAGGATTTATATGAATAATATGGGATTAATAAATCCTTCCATTCCCCACCATCTACTCAGAGCTGAGGAAGCTTCTTGGATGAGAAGCAAAATGTCTTCAAAGAAAAACAAGTTGCCTCTTGAAAAAGCACCTTATTTGGGACAAATAAGTTGCGAATTCAAACTACCATCTTATTACAAGACTGAAATTTTAGGATTGATGGTTTACAAAGGATGGGGGAGACAGGAGGATTCAGAAGTCCTGGGGGCTTTCTGGAGCTTTGTTGCTTTCTTACAGATGTTTCATTACCCAACTAGGTAACATCATCAGTGCTAGAAGGCAGTGAGGCTGATTCTCCTTTAACAGACTGACAAAGCAAGCCACTAGTGTATAAAAAGAGAACAAACCCACTTCCTTCTAGTACTGTTGATGTTGCCTAGTTGGGTAAGGAAATGTCTCCAATAAAACTCACCAAGCTCCAGAGAGCATCAAGGACCCCCACAGCTCAACCTTAAGCTACAAATATTCTCCATCAAGATCACATGAAGTGTTAGCACCACTTTATAATGCCTTGGTAAGGCCACATTTGGAATATTACATCCAGTTTTGGTCACCACGATGTAAAAAAGAGGTTGAGACTCTGGAAAGAGTGCAGAGAAGAGCAACAAAGATGATTAGGGGACTGGAGGCTAAAACATATAAAGAACGGTTGCTGGAATTGGGTATGTCTAGTTTAATGAAGAGAAGGACGAGGGGGGACAGGATAGCAGCGTTCCAGTATCTCAGGGGCTGCCACAAAGAAGAGGGAGTCAAGCTATTCTCCCAAGCACCTGAAGGCAGGACAAGAAGCAACGGATGGAAACTCATCAAGGAGAGAATCCAATCAAGAACTAAGGAGAAACTTCCTGACAGTGAGAAATAATTAACCAGTGGAACAATTTGCCTTCAGAAGTTGCTGCAATACTGGAGGTTTTTAACATGAGACTGGACCATTATTTGTCTGAAATGGTCTAGGTTCTCCTGCCTGAGCAGGGGGTTGGACTAGAAGACCTCCAAGGTCCCTTCCAACTCTGTTATTCTGTTACTCCTCTACCGATACAGGCAGGAGAAGCGTCCACAGCAGAGCTTCTTGAAAGCCAGTGATGGATTGTTTATATTCAAAATAAGCATAGAATGGTGGAATATAGGTTAGGTTTTTAGATAAAAAAAATTTTTTTTCTTTTTATATATATACATATATTTCACCTACTTATGTAGAATTATATTTTGTGGAGTTAGGGATATTAATATAAGGTTACTTTTAGATGAATAGTATCCTGGGATTAGGTTTGGGAAGTCCGGGTGGGGGGTGGGGAGGGGGTTTTCCAATTGTGATGTACTTGTGATTGCTTTTTTTCTTATGTTGAAAATAATAAAAAAAAATTTTGGGAAAAAAAAAAAAAAAAGAAAAACCCCCCGTTTGCTATGCCAGGGTCCTGTGAGAGTGAATTAAGTTAATCGTCCATCTACGCTGCCCCCGCACAGATCTCCTGGTAGGCTGGAAGGCAGGCAAGCCAACTCCTGCTTCTGAATGGATATAAGAATTCTCAGGTTTCCTTTTGCTCCGTAAGAGAACAGAAGACCAACTTTTCCTGCTCCTAGGAGAACAATCAGCCTTCAAACGGGGCCCTCTGAACTGCCCCTCTCTCTTCATTCCTGTCTCAGGCCTTTAGTTTAGTCATTGTCTCTCTCTCTCACACACACACACACATACACACACAGAGAGACTTTTAAAAACCAGGAGGTAAGACTATATCTCTGTGGCTGCCTCCTCTCCTTTCTTTCTCCCTTTGAAATGGGTTAAGTGCTCTCCCTTCTTTGGTGTGATACGCTGAAACCAGATCTCCAGTTAAACAGTTGTGAAATGTCTCTCTTTCAAAAGAGAGAGAGAGAGAGAGAGAGAGAGAGAGAGAGAGAAGAAGAAGGCAAGAAAGGAGGAAAAAGAAAGTTACAGGAGAGGAGGGAGGGAGGGAGAGAGGACAGGGAGGGAGGGAGATTGAGGGGGAGAGGGAAAGATACAGAAAGAGAAAGACAGAAAAAGAGAGAGAGGAGGAGGGGGGAGGGAGGGAGGGAAGGAAGGAAGGAGGGAGGGAGAAGGAAGGAAGGAAAGAGGAAGGAAGGAAGGAAGGAAGGAAGGAGTAGGAAAGAAGGAGGAAGAAGAAAGGAAGGAAGGAAGGAAGGAAGGAGGAAGGGAAGAAAAGAAGGAGAGAGAGTAGGAAAGGAGGGAGAAGAAAGAAAGAAAGAAAGAAAGAAAGGAAGGAAGGAAGGAAGGAAGGAAGGAAGGAAGGAAGGAAAGAAGGAAGGAAGGAAGGAAGGAAGGAAAGAAGGAGAGAGAATAGGAAACTTCCTCCCTCTTCCTTCCTTCCTTCCTTCCTTTCTTCCTCTCTCTCATCCTTTCTTCCTCCCTCTTCCTTCCTTCCTTTCTTTCTTCTTTTCTTCCTCTCTCATCCTTTCTTTCTCCCTCTTCCTTCCTTCCTTCCTTCCTTCCTTCCTTCCTTCCTTCCTTCCTTCCTTCCTTCCTTCCTTCCTTCCTTCCTTCCTTGAAAAGAAATAGGTATTTTTAAAAAAATCCAGGTTGGATTACTTCTCAGTCAAAAATCCTCCTTTAGTTGCATACTTTTTTGGGAAGTCCCCTAAGAGATGGCCCAAATACCAGCTTCTTTGCCCCCGATTCAAACACAACCCTGTTGTTTAAAATTATAGAATGAACTCTTAAGACTGACATCCCCCAGTTACGCAGAATGAAAGAAAAAAATTGGTCAGTGGATGCCTGAAGGAATCAGAGGCAGGAGGTACATAAATCAATCCCCCATCCTAGCCTGATGGGATCCACAATCTCTGATTAGTGAGCAGAGTCATAGATGACTGGCTTAATTAGTTCACAAGAAGAAAAGACCTACCGTAGACCGCTAAAGTGCTTGAGTAGCTACAAGAGACATGATGTAACTACAGCTCGGTTCCTTTTAGAAGGTTAACCTCAGGAGAAACCTGGAAGGCGAGGCTATAAAAAAGGATGCAGCCCATCAACAAAGCAGGCCACGTGGACCCGATCATGAGCCATTCAGGTCCTGCATGAAAGGACTCATTCAGAGAACAGAAAGGAAACCCACGCTGGGAAGGAAAAGATGGCACTTGTCTCATTTTTACTTCTCCGAACAAGGAAACAAGTTGGGTGTTCTACTTTATTGCAAAAGTGCATAGAGTCAAGGCCGTGGTTTTCCCAGTTGCAACGTATGGCTGTGAAAGTTGGACCATAAGGAAGGCTGAGGGCCAAAGAATGGAGGCCTTTGAACTCTGGTGCTGGAGAAGACTCCTGCGAGTCCCCTGGACTGCAAGGCCATCAAACCGGTCGGTCCTAGAGGAGATCAACCCCGACTGCTCTTTAGAAGGCCAGATCCTGAAGTGGAAACTCAAGTCCTTTGGCCACCTAATGAGAAGGAAGGACTCCCTGGAGAAGAGCCTGATGCTGGGAAAGAAGGAGGGCAATAATAGAAGAAAGGGACGACAGAGAAGGAGGTGGCTGGAGGGAGTCACCGAAGCAGGAGGCCTGAGCTTCAATGGACTCCAGAAGATGGTAGAGGACAGGAAGGCCTGGAGGAACGTGGTCCATGGGGTCGCGATGGGTCGGACACGACTTCGCAACTAACAACAACTTTATTACCAATCGGTCTAGCAAACTGTCCACCATATTCTCGGTTCCCTGAGGCCCACAGCTTAACCTGAACTTCTGCTATCCAGGTTGGCTTGAACACACACAAGGAATGCACACAACAAAAGAAACTCAAGGAAGGTCTGTTTGTGTTGTGGCTTCTCAAGGGGGAAGTTCAGACAGCCTTCCGGTTTAAGGGAACGGCCTGGATTCCTTTGCAGGTTTCCAGTTAGGGTTAGGAGTTTGTTCAAGTTCAAGTTTATTGAGCTGGCCTCCTCACGGGAAGAGAGGCACGCTGGTGTTGCAAGGCCACAAAAAGACAGTCAACTCTGACACACAGAAAGATGGAGCTCTCTTAAGAATGCTGTTCTTCTGCCTCGAACATGTGAAATACGGCACTACCGGTGTGCCAAAAACTACATGTGGCATTCTTAGCACCCAATCTCGCCGTCACACAACCAGCCAAGGATGCAAAAAATTCACCTCGCTTTTCTCCTCCTTTGGGAGAGCACCCCAGGTGGAAAGACTTGGGAAGCCATCTCCAAGGAGGCGATAGGCAAGCTGAACTGAAGCCCGGGGTTGGTGAGTCCTGCCTTTGGCAGAACTGAAATCCCAGTGGAGAATGTTCTTTCACCATGAAGGGTGGCAGAAGGGATAGAAGGGGATTTTATCCAGGCTTACCCCATAGCTTCCCCAACTGATCTTCTGATCCACTGTTAGGATTTTCAGGTCCCGAACTCTCCCTTCCTGAGCTGGCATCATCTGAAAAAAAAAAAAAGGAAGGAAGGAAGGAAGGAAGGAAGGAAGGGAGGGAGGGAGGGAGGAAGGAAGGAAGGAAGGAAAGAGAGTAGGAAAGGAGGGAGAAGGAAGGAAGGAAGGAAAAGGAAGGAAGGAAGGAAGGAAGGAAGGATGGATGGGTGGACAGATGAATAGATGAGAAAGGAAGGAATACAGTGGGTGGATGGATGAGGGAGGGAGGGAGATATGGATGGATGGATGAATAGATGAGGAAGGAAGGAAGATGGTGGGTGGATGGAAGAGAAAAGGAAGGAAGGAAAGAAGGAAGGAAGGAAAGAGAGTAGGAAAGGAGGGAGAAGGAAGGAAGGAAAAGGAAGGAAGAAAGAAAGAAAGAAAGAAAGAAAGAAAGAAAGAAAGAAAGAAAGAAAGAGAAAGGAAGGAAGGAAGGAAGGAAGGAAGGGTTGATGGATGATGGATGGACGGACAGATGAATAGATGAGAAAGGAAGGAATACAGTGGGTGGATGGATGAGGGAGGGAGGGAGATAGTGGATGGATGGATGGATGAATAGATGAGGAAGGAAGGAAGATGGTGGATGGATGGAAGAGAAAAGAAGGAAGGAAGGAAGGAAGGAAGGAAGGAAGGAAGGAAGGAAGGAAGGAAGGAAGGAAGGAAAAAGGGAAAGAAGAAAAATACATTAATTTTTAAAACATAGTAGTGTTTGAGTCAATAGTAAGAACATATTTTATTCCATTCCAACAGAGTTAATGTGTTCCCTGCCTGTGCCGTTTATTTCCTGGTGCTTTTTTAAAAGAAAACTTTTTCCACTGGCTTCTACCATGATGGGAGCGTAATTAATGCTACCATTAATAGTAAACTGAAGACCTTTTGTTTATGTTTATGGCTCACGTTCCCTGGGAGAAGATGGAACTGGGTGACGTTCCTTGCAAATGAGGGCATAAATCAAAATTGCAGCAGAAAAGGTAATAGGAACTTCTGGGAATCAGTCACAGCTTGCCGCTTCGAAAGAAATCAAGAATTGGAAAAGTTGTTTAACTGTTGCCTCACTTTGAAGACGTTGGCTTATTTAGGTCAGGGAGGGGTCAAAACGGAACCCCCACAGCAGAGCAAGGAAGGGAAAAGAAGCAATTTAGTAATTAGTAATGTCACTTAACGAGAGGCGTACAAGTGAAACACCAGGCAGTTACAAGGTTGGGTTATAAAAAAAGAGGTCCACATTCAGATTCTCTCAAGCCCACCTTTGGCTCCTCAGAGTTTCCAAGAGCTACTTGCTCTACCTACCTACCTACCTACCTTATCTACCTATATCTATATCTATCTATCTATCTATCTATCTATCTATCTATCTATCTATCTATCTATCTATCTATCTATCTATCTATCTATCTATCTATCTATCTATCTCTATCTCTATATCTATCTATCTATCTATCTATCTATCTATCTCTATCTCTATCTCTATCTCTATCTCTCTATCTATATCTATCTATCTATCTATATCTATCTATCTATCTATCTATCTATCTCTATATCTATCTATCTATCTATCTATCTCTATCTATCTATCTATCTATCTCTATCTCTATCTCTATCTCTATCTCTATCTCTATCTCTATCTATCTATCTCTATCTATCTATCTATCTATCTATCTATCTATCTATCTATCTATCTATCTATTTATCTCTATCTATCTATCTATCTATCTATCTATCTATCTATCTATATCTATATCTATATCTATATCTATATCTATATCTATATCTATATCTATATCTATATCTATATCTATATCTATATCTATATCTATATCTATCTATCTATCTATGTCTGTCTGTCTGTCTGTCTGTCTGTGTTTGTCTGTCTGTCTGTCTGTCTGTCTATCTATTTATCTTATCATCTATCTATATGTATCTCCCTAGCTCTCTCTCTCTCTCTCTCTCTCTCTCTCCCCTCCCTCCCATCTCTCTCTCTCATCTATCTATATCTATTCATCCATCCATCCATCTGTCCAGCCATCCACCTGTCTACAACTGATCGTAACTCTAGGGCTGCTGAGAGAGACACATATAACATCTGGATTCTTCTCTTATAGTGTATCTTTGTGGACTCAGCTGGTTCCTAGTCCAACAGCAAAAAGTAACACATTCCACATTTGTAAAAAAAAATACACACAAGTGTCCATGCACAAGCTTGTTTTATCTGCTGGGAACTTTAACATTCTTGACTGCATTGAGAATTTCCTCTTAATCTCTGTTATGTCTCTAAGGCCCCTTTTTACAGACATTACAGGCCTCTGTTTGGGATCTCTTCTCATATGGATTCTACGTGAGATAATTCACGTACAATCAATGAATATTAAAGCCATATTCCCTATCATGGAAACAGCTATTTATTTTATTCTGATCATTCTGACATCCAGGAATTGTGCCTATCTAAGGTTTAGTGATCAAAACGGCAACCTAAGACCAACCAAGATCATGGATGGATGTAAGAGATCATCTTGTAGAAAAAGCCCAAACAGCTTGGGATTCAAAATCTGGCTTCCAATCTCACAAATCAGACTCTCAAAACAATACTGTGGTTTTCAGTTTTGGTTACCCCATTACAAAAAAGATGTTGAGACTTTAGAAAAAGTGCAGAGAAGAGCAACCAAGATGGTTAAAGGCCTGGAGACTGAAACATATGAAGAACTGTTGCAGGGTTTAAGGACTAGGGCAAGGATAGACAACCATGGCTCTTTTATGACTGGTGGACTTCAACTCCCAGAATTCCTGAGCCAGCATGGCTCAGCTTGGAAACCTCTCCCTTTCCCCGCAGCATGGCTGGCTCAGGAATTCTGGGAGTTGAAGTCCACCAGTCACAAAAGAGCTAAAGTTGCCTACTCCTGGACTAGGGGGACATAATAGCAATCTTCTGGTATTTGAGAGGCTGCCACAAAGATGGGGGAACAACCTGCCTCCAGAAGTGGTGAATGCTCCAACACTGGAAGTTTTTAAGAAGAGACTGGACAGCCGTTTGTCTGAAATGGTGTAGGGTTCCTGCCTGGGCAGGGGGTTGGACTCGATGACCTCCAAGGTCCCTTCCAACTTTATTATTATTATTATTATTATTAACCTATTCTCCAAAGCACCTGAAGGCAGGACAAGAAGCAACGGATGGAAAGCAATCAAGGAGAGAACCAACCTGGAATTAAGAAAAAACTTCTTAACAGGGAGAACAATTAACCAGTGGAACCACCTGCCTCCAGAAATTGTGAGTGCTCCATCCCTGGAGGTTTTTTAAGAAGTTGTCTGAAATTGTGTAGGGTCTCCTGCTTGAGCAGGGGGTTGGACTAGAAGACCTCCAAGGTCCCTTCCAGCTCTATTCTGATTGATTGATTGATAGACTGATTGATTGATTGAACCATTCACAAAGCCGAAGGAGATGTCCTTTGGCCTAGCTTGCCTCTTGACTTACTTGCAAGGATAAAAGAAGTTGTGTGTTTCTGAAAGCCACTTGGGGCTGACCACTTCCAAAAGCAGCAACTACTATTAATGTGGATCTTCGAATAAACATAGGATGACACTTATATCTTAGGAGTAACTGACAAAAGATCCTGGAAGGCCTCCGGAGCATCACATTTCAGCTTCCCACGCAGGACATGTTTCCAATGCGTTCCCCGCAGCGAGTTCGCAGCGCAAGGTTGCACAGTGTAAAAACACGGGGGAAGGACGCTTATGAATTTAAAAAGCCAGGCCCTGACGTGGTTCGACGTGTTCTTTGCTAGCGAACCGACGCTAAATGCTCTCGGCGTTCCTTTTGTCAATCAGGACCTTAATCCTGCCGCAGGAGGGTCTCCTTCTGAGACGGGCCTCCCTTCCTTTGTCTGGGGGTCTCAAGTTACCGCGCGTCCACCAAGGCACAGCCCACCGCCCATCTCTTTCCCAACCCCCACCCCCTTCCCCGTGCCTGAAACTCCACTCATGCACACCACCTAATTGGCATTCTCGGCCATACTTGAGTGCTTGCCAAGCCTTTCATGTGAAGCGACGTGCGGCAAACATGCGCCGGATCCTTTGAAGATGCGTCTCTGCTCGTTAGCCGGCCAGCTCTTCCAACTGCATTGGGGAAAGTTCCACTCCCGGAAAAAATATGAAGAGCGGGGGCTGAATTTTTATTTATTTATTTTTTAAAAAAAGAGAGAGACAGAAAGATTAGGTCATTCCTTCTTCATGCTCTCCTCTGGATCTTCCTATGCGGCAGTAAATATAAACATTCCGGTGAGAATCCCCCAAATACTTTTTCAAAAGGCTACTGGGGCTTCGTTTGTCCCCGAAGATGTTTCGCTTCTCATCCAAGAAGCTTCTTCAGCTCTGAGCTGGGACAGCCAAGACTTGCGATGATGGAGAGTCTCCATGGACATTCTGGTGAGAGAGAGGTTCTCCGAGCAAAGGGTTCCAGCAGTCCGAAAGCCCGGAAGACTCAATCTTTGGTCCCGGGGACCGACCCAAATTGGGATCCTGCAGTAAATATACAAGTCGTCCTTGACTTTGGGGTGAACTCTCCCCTTTTTTCCCATATTAAATGTCATGTTTTAGGAATGGCTTCGTTCATCCCAATGGAGGTCAAGAGTAGTCTAGTCCAGGGATCCTCAACCATGGCAACTTTAAGACTTGTGGACTTGTGGACTTCAACTTCAACTTCAAGTTGAAGTCCACAAGTCTTAAAGTTGCCACAGTTGAGGACCCCTGGTCTAGTTTAGGGAGAAGAACCTTGGAAGGAAACCTTGAAACATTGCCCTGGAGATCCACGTAGACGCTCCTCAAAAAGCAGAGTTAAAACCCTAACAATCCCGTCCTCACCGACGGTCCTATTCCAAACAAATTCCACGTTGGCGTAAAATATCCAGTAGTCTCAAGTCAATCTAAATGAACATACTCACCATACTCACTACTTTTGAGTCTGCTTCAGAAAGAATGTGCGTTTGACTTTCTGAGCTTGTCGCACTTCAGCAACTTCAGCG